AGCATCCCACTGATTATAATGTGAATCATTTTTCATCATTGTTCTTTCCAAAGCTGTAAAAACGTTGCCAAAACACATTGATAAATGCTACGCAAACCATCTTTTTAGATAAACTATACGATGTGGTAGTTGATGATTAGATTCTATTTTTAATAAGAGTGTATTTTTCCTCACCACTATGAATTATAGTGTATGCTCACCATACATCTCATCATTTGATACGCATCTTTTCACTTAACCATAGTTAAAAAAAATTCAAAATTAGAAAAGGAATATTTAATATTAAAGTTAATTATAGTTAGTTGAGAGAACATGTGTCAGATGATGAGGTGTGTGGTGAGCATACACCAAAGTTATGGTGGTGAGTAAAAATACTCTCTTTTAATAAATAAATAAATAAAAATTCAACCGTTATATCATATGATCTATAAAAATTATCTAAAAAGATGATATGTCAAGCATTACTCCCTTAAGAAAATATTACAGGCCCTTCCTCCCTCCTTCCACCGGTTGATATATGGTCTGCATGCATGCTGATTTTATCTTCGTCCCCTTTTGCTTTTAATCCCATGACTTCTCAGGTTGATTGTACCCAAAATCATAACTTTGTGTCCTCACCATATCTTAACTCCGGTGAAAATTGACCAGACATGCGTACAACACAAGATTCAAATATACACGCTCTCACTCTCACACTCACTGTAAATCTTGATTTAACTATTTTTACTGCTAATTATTTTCAAACATATATATATATATATATATAATACCTCTATCCACCTAACGGTCCAATTCTTTCATTATTTTCATTGGTCAATCAAAATCACGGATCGCATTATTACAATATATATATAGACGAGTGAAAATGAATTTTAACGAAAAGTTCACGGTATTATTCACTTTAACGAAAAATCATATTTTTACATTAAAAAGTCAAACTTGGTACTATTCACTTTACCCTTTATTTTGTCCTTATCATTAAAACTCAAAGTTTTCAAAATCTTTTCATTAGTTTTTCTCGAGTGAAATCGATGCATGTCTAGGCCAATATATAATTAAAGCAAATTGTGAGAATTTTAGGTCATTATACATATCATTTGTTTTTTCTTTTTGCGTCACCATCATTTCTTCCAGTTGGACTTATCAAAAGAGATTGAGATTTACTAATGAGCATAAATATATGGCCCAAATTTATTTTTCAAAAAGAGTTGAAAAAGAAATATGCAAATAAGGACGATTTACAAAGAATATTGGTAATATGAGCAGAGGGCTACTGAATTCGCATTTGGATCTTCTTATTTTACTAGCATAATTCTGTTAGGAATTAATCCTTATTATATAGGTTTAGCAAGAAGATAATAAACTCGTAATGACCGTGATGCAAAAGCGGGAAAAAAATGATAATAAAGCTCGTTAATGGCCGCAATCAAACTAGAAGCATTGGCTTCAAATATAGACATGTATGTCAAGAATAAAATGCAATTAAGTCTCCCAGATGTTTTTGAAACAAAGTATTGAGCTCGAACAAAATATGACATGCAGCTGGCTCTTATCGTAATCTGGTTGATATTATGAAAAATGATGATTTGGAAAGTAGTAGTTGAGGATGCATAATTTGCTCCCCGCAATGGACACTAATTGATTAAAAATGGAGCAAGAACTTAAGTGCCTTTGATCATCAAGGGGTTTTCCTTCAATTGGTTTTTTTGTCCTATATATTATGGCGATATATAAAGTGACATTCAATATCCATTTCTTTAGGTTGAGGTTTTGTGTTATCAACATGAACTGAAGTTTATTATACGTTGTTAGAGCATTTATCGTTACATCTAAGTATATATGTTTGATTCTGATCTCTTATAAAATATCACTTGTATTAAGATAAAAAAAAAAAAGTTATATTGTTTTTTTTTTTTTTTTTTTGAAAAAAAAAGAAGAAGAAGAAGTTATATTGTTGTTGTTTTAATCATGGATTATAAGAAAAAAAGAAAAGAAAAAGGAAGTCATATTGTTGTTCTTTTAATCATGGATTATAAGACCAAGCAATGGTAAAGAATTTTTTTTATTTTTTATTTTTTTAACAAACCATATTATCTACACTAAGGAGAGGGGGTGGACGTAGCCTCACAATGGACTAACAATAATGTGATTCAAAATTCACCTTTGCCGAGAATCGAACCTATGACCTATCACTTACAAAGGAATAGAAATATTACTAGACTGTAGTACAAAATGACCACTAATAAACAATTTTATATTGGTTTTATAATGTTTAATCACGCATCTTTGACAATTTCAAATGCATCTTTTTTAACCAAATATATTTATTTAAGGAGTCATTGGTCAAAGGAACAAAACCCACAAAAAACATGTGAAATAAAAGAAACCAACAATTCTTATGATGAGCAATTTCTAAATGTGTTGAGTTCACATAGTACTCACGTTGTCTAGTAAACGTGTCGTGTTTGTCGTATTTGTTTTGTTTTTGTGTCATACTTGTTACTGTTACATCCTGGCCCGGGCCCCCATCGCATCTTTGACAGTTTCAAATACATCTTTTTTAACCAAATGTATTTATTTAAGGAGTCATAGGTCAAAGGAACAAAACCCACAAAATACATGTGAAATAAAAGAAACCAACAATTCTTATGATGAGTGATTTCTAAATGTGTTGAGTTCACATAGTACTCACGTTGTCTGGTAAACGTGTCGTGTTTGTTGTATTTGTTTTGTTTTCGTGTCATACTTGTTACTGTCACATCCTGGCCCAGGCCCTCACCACATCCCGGACTCGACTCCACCGTAGCACGATATTGTTCGCTTTGGGCCTCGACCATGCCTTTACAGTTTTGTTTCTGGGAACTCACACGAGAACTTCCCAGTGGGTCACCCATCCTGGGATTACTCTATCGCGATACTCGCTTAACTTCGGAGTTCCGATGGAACCTGAAGCCAATGAGCTCCCAAAAGACCTCGTACTAGGTAGAAATGAGAATATACATATAAGGCTTACAAGATCCACTCCCCTGGGCAAAGTGGGATGTTACAATCTACCCCCCTTAGGGGCCTAACGTCCTCGTCGACACACATCTGACTAGGGATTGGCTCTGATACCAAATTGTTACATCCCTTCCCGGGCCCCTACTATATCTCGGGCTCGACTCCACCGTAGCATGATATTGTCTGCTTTGGACCCCGACCACACCTTCACGGTTTTATTTCTGGGAATTCACAAGAGAACTTCCCAGTGGGTCACCCATCCTGCGATTGCTCTCGCGCACTACTTGTTTAACTTCAGAGTTCCGATAAAACCTGAAACCAGTGAGCTCCCAAAAGGCCTCGTGCTAGGTAGAGATGAGAATATACATATACGCATCTTTGACAGTTTGAAATACATCTTTTTTAACCAAATATATTTATTTAAGGAGTTATAGGTCAAAGGAACAAAACCCACAAAATACATGTGAAATAAAAGAAACCAACAATTATTATGATGAGATATTTATAAATGTGTTGAGTTCACATAGTACTCACGTTGTCTAGTAAACGTGTCTTGTTTATCGTATTCGTTTTGTGTTCATGTCATACTTGTTATCTTAACAGATTTTGTCATGTCAAACCCATTATCATAACAGGTTCTTAACAATTGACTCAATAATATCCCGACTAGTCAACCGGTCGTGTCGTTTTGTGTTGGGTTAATAGGCAAGAAATTGTCATGCCTAATGTATAGACTAGCCAAACGGGTCATGTTTGTCGTTTATGCATCTTGCCCGTTATCTTAACGGGTTCTTAACATGTGGATCAATAACGACTCAATTCGTTGATGGGTTCTTAACGGATGATCTGATAACGACCAAGCTCATGAACGTGTTGAACCAAAACTTATTATTTTTGTGTCATTTCGTGTTGGGTTAACAAGTTGTACAAGAAGTCATCAACCATAAACCATCTTTTTAAACTATATTTATAGATCACATGATATGATAGTTATTTGTAGAATTCATTCTTTAAATTGTTAAAAAAGAATCTAACCATTAACTGTCACATTATCTCTACTAATTAATAAAACACTCATTGTCAACCAAAACCCTATGAAATTACTAGTTTAACCCTTTAATTAAAACATAACATGAATAAGAAATATGGGGTAGAAATATAATTTCACACAGCCAAATTTTTCTGTTTTTTTTAAAAGCCTCACATACATGTAATTCTAATATATCTCCAAAAATTAAAAAAAAAAAAAAAAAAACTTCTCACCCCCACATTCTCTATCACTCTTTTCCTCTCTCCTTCTATTTCAAAAACAAAAATAAAAAATTTTCTCACACATTTTATGTGTGCACATATGCTAGTGTGATTTATAAAATCTAGTACAATAAGTCTTGCTAACATTTTTCAGAAGAAAAATGTACCAAATTCTAACTATTAACTGTCACATTATGTGATTTATAAAATCTAGTACATTAAGAGGATCTCACTAACATTTTTCAAAGGAAAAAAAAATGTAACAAAACTAAAAGTGAAAAAAGTGAAAAATAAAATCCAATTTCTTGTTCTTGTTCATTTTCTTCTTTAAAAAAGAAAAGGGAGTATAAACAAAAGGGTGAGTTATGTAGCTCGAAGCTCGAAAAGTTGGAGTGTGCGGTATCCAAAACGATCCAAAACGACGTCCTTTTTTTGCAGTCAGTTAAAAATCACGAAATTCCAAAACCAACCCGGCGAACCAATGCGATCGCATCGCACCGTACACTTCCCCACACACCCCACTCGTCTCTCACACGACTCACCACTCCCCTCCGTTTTCAAACCTTCAAAAACGTCCCACACAAATACAACCCCCTCGTGAAAGGCCAAGATAGTAATTTCGTTATTTTACCATCATCCGCGCCGCGCTGGAAACTGCAATTTCTGGATAATTCCCGTCACGTCATATCCTACGTGGCATCCGATCCTAGTCAGCTCCCAGCTTCTCCTATAAAATGCCCAGAGCCCATCCTTCACCGCCAGTCCTACACTCTCCATAAAACCCAGGCCTCACAGCACACAGAAAAATCTCAAGGCTCTCCTTCCTCCTTAGCTAACAACCACCACAATCACCGTCGCCGGCGAAATCGATCGCCGGAAATGAATATTCCGGCAACCTTATTATTCACATCCATAAGAAATGTTCGTATATTCGATCATCGCCATCACGTTTTCCACGATAAGCCATCATCGGAGGTCATACTCTTTTAGCTCGAGTTTTTCTGGTGAAAGAAATATTAACATTTTCTAGGGGAAAATACTGGTTTTTATTTTTCGATTTTTGAGTTTTGGACCGGATTTAACCTTGTAGGCGTTGAGATTTTTGAGTTTTTTTGGGTAGTGGAGGAGGAGGGTGAATGTGTATAAAAGTAGGCATTAATTTCTGAATTGAGTTTTTAATATTTGTATCAATTTCTGTGGGTTTTGATTTTTTGAATCCCAAAGTTTAATTAGGCACTGAAAAATGAGCTGAAGGCTGAGAAATTAGGTAGGGCGGTGCGTCAGTGTCTTAGTAAATTGTATAGCTTGTAAAACCCGAGTTATGCCATTTCCGATGAAGATCCAACCGATTGATATCGATTCCGAGATTTTGATCGAGCCGGCCCGGGTCGACTCGGCGAAACCGGTCTTGAAATCGCGGCTCAGGAGGCTCTTTGACCGGCAGTTCCCGAGCGTGCTTAGAATCTCTTCTGCGCATGAGAAGCAGCCTGCTACTGAGCCGCCTCCGCCGCAGCAGAACTACAATATCAGCAAGGATGAAGGGACCGTCGGCGCTGCGGCCGAGTTCGAGCCGAGTTCGGTTTGCTTGGCGAAGATGGTTCAGAATTTTATCGAAGAAAGCAACGAGAAGCAGCATCCGCCGAAATGTGGACGGAACCGCTGCAATTGTTTTCACGGCAACGGCAATGACAGCTCCGACGACGAGCTCGATATCTTCGGTGGAGGTTTCGGTGATTCAATCTCCTCCGGTTCGTTCGGTGGCGACGCCTCCGATATTCTTAAGGTACAAAATTATAAATAATCGTTGCTTCGATTACACTTTTTGATTAGTAAATTGTTTTTGCATTTTCTCGCGGTTTCTTGGCAACCAAACAGAGAATATGAATATGGATGATTGATTGTTTGTTTAATCAGAGTCTGATTCCATGCGTGAGCATCTCGGAGAGAAACCTCCTGGCCGATACGGCGAGGATCGTCGAAGCAAACAAGAATCTCAAACAAAAAGACGATTTGAGGAAGATGGTCACCGACGGACTGCAATCCCTCGGCTACGATGCCTCCACCTGCAAATCCAAATGGGAGAAATCGTCGTCTTTCCCTGCCGGTAATTTACAATCCCACCCCACAAGTTCTCAGAATCCAAACAGATTTAAGAAAAAAAATTCAAATAAAAAGTAAAAACAAAATTAAATTTGGTTGTGGCTTTTGGTCTTCAGGTGAGTACGAGTATATCGATGTGACGGTAGAGGGCGAAAGGTTGTTGATTGACATAGATTTCCGATCGGAATTTGAGGTCGCTCGATCCACTGGGGTCTACAAGGCCGTCCTCCAGTCGCTGCCGTACATTTTCGTCGGAAAATCCGACCGTCTGGGCCAGATCGTCTCCATCGTATCGGAGGCAGCCAGACAGAGCCTGAAGAAGAAAGGCATGCACTTCCCTCCGTGGCGGAAAGCCGAGTACATGCGCGCCAAGTGGCTCTCACCCTACACCCGAACCGCCGTTCCCCGTCCAGAAAACGACACCGCTCCCGCGTCGGGGAGCCAAGCGGTAATCTCCGACGCTCCGACCGAGGTCGACAATCTCAGCGATTGCGGTGAACTCGAGTTGATCTTCGGTGAGAGCCATCTTCCGCTACCGTCGCCGGCGGGAAATTCAATTTCAGGTGAGAAGGCGGCGGTGGCTTGGGAGCCGCCTGCGATTAAGCCGAAGAGCGTTGAGAGAGGAGCGAGGATCGTGACCGGATTGGCATCACTGCTCAAGGAGAAACCTTGAGGCAAATTTTGGATTTTTTTTTTAATTTAAAATTTTCCGGAAAACCAAAAAAGGATATAACTCATATAAGTATTAAAAAAATAAAAGAAATATATGAATGGGAGTTGGAATAGTAGAGTGGTAGTCGTACAGGCTTTTTAAGTTTTGTCTTTTTCCGAAGTTTCCCCTTCCTTTTTTGTTAGCAAAGGGCATAAATGTAAGAAAGCAAGTAAATCTATGGACCATCATCTCTATGTAATAAAATTAGTTTTAAATACCAAAATAGACTGTTAATATTTTTGTGGAAATTTTCTATAGCACCTCGAAATAGTTGATGTTCCGATAATATGGTAGCACCATTTTTATTACAAGTACGATTGTTCATCTAAAAATACTAGATGACTGTACGATTTTAAATTTAATTAATATTTTTAAGTGACCTTAAAGGAAAATTGATAATTTTGTAACAATAAAGGTTTAAATAAAAAACAATAAAATATTATTTTATAAAATTACATTACTGTTTTTTATAATTTTATTGTAATAAAAGACTAATCAGTCATTTCACTCTTTTTTTTTTCTGACAAAGAGGATTTTATTAATATATAATTTAGATGAAAGAAAAAGTCCAAAAAGTAAACTGAGAATATGTGAATAAAAAAGAGTGTTGTCACTTGGTATTATGATCTAGTGACATTCTTCTTTAAATATGTCTTAGATTCGATTCTCGTCAAAGATTAATTTGAATCATATAATTACTAGTTCATTGTGAGTTTAAGCCACTCATTCCCTTAGTGTAAATGATATCCTTTATTAAAAAAAATGAAAATAGTAATAGTATTTTTAGTATCTTTAAATTTAAATAATTTACTTATTTTAGGGTTTTGGGATGGGCATATTTTTGTCAAATAATAAATTTGTTAAATTAAATAATCGAAGGAGTCTGAACTTATATCGTGCTGTAAAAACAACACTCTTTTCTACTATTGCAGTAGAAGGCCATTTGCAGGTGGTGGGCATTTTGATGTAAGGTACTGTGCAGGGACGGTTTGTTGAAAGGGGAACAAAGGAGGATGAGAGTCTCTTTTCTCAATTTCCCATCTTTTTAGGGTATATTTTTGTCTTTTTCTAAAAAAGTAAATTATTAAAGAGGAGAGAGAGAGCGAAAGATGTTGATGATGAAGATGACGGCAGGAGAGAGAGAGAGGCCCGTGGAGTCTCGAAGGCTGTGGCCGTTAGTGAGGGGTTAAATAATAATAATAATAATAAAGTTAATTAGGAAAATGGAAAATTATTGATTAGGATTGCGTGATATTCCCTCCCAGCCTTGGGAGGAATTTGATTAATCATGGAGTGGCGAAAACGCGTCTTTTGGTATAAGAGTTGAAAAAAGTGAAAACTAGTAAGCGAATTCCATCCGCGACCACCACAAATACGGAAGACAAACACTTCTCATCTGTTTTGTGTGTCAAGCTATTACTTTGACTGACGACTCTCTCTCTCTCTCTCTCTCTCTCTCTCTTTCTTCACAAGCTACTCTAACACGTGCAAGCCATTGAGAGGCTCTTGAGAACTTAAATGTGTTTGGATCTTTTGGAAATTTTGCATATGAAGCTTTTGAGTGAAACCGGCAAACCAAGTGCTTGCTGCTAGCTAGTCCAAAGTATAATGAGTTCGATAATGCTTATGTCCTCCTTACTGAGGAAGTTGCTTATCCCTCACTTACGATTAATAATTTTTTATCGTCTGAATATTATAATCGTAAAGCATTATACTAATGAGTTTATTGAGCCCTTGTTTTAATTGTCTTGGAGTTAAAATAAAATGTTTTTTTACTAGATAATTTAACGTATTATGGTATTAAATTGGATCAAACAAATTTTATTTGAATGTGTGATTCAAATTTGAAATTTTGATAGCTGGTGGAGAATGCTAGCAATTTTCTTATTTGAACCTTCTCACTCTATTTTATCGACTGTCATTTTCATTCTACAATGTTTTATGATGATCTAAACAACCAATTTTCTAGCATCCTTTATATATGTGTTCACTCTAAAAACTACTTAGCCTACGTGACGTGCATGCCGAATAACCAATGAGCTAACTATGTCCTTCTGGTGAATGCGGACGTGCCAACTCACCACCGAGCTCGGCGGATAAGTAAAATGATTGTGCGGGTGGTGTCGAATGCGTTGTTGACTCCTGTATCTAAGTGATCACGACCGAGGAAGGAACTTATCCCTTGAAGACATGGTTTTACTTAATATGAAGTTCAGAATTGTTTGCACCAAGTTCGGCTGCCTCAATTATATTTGTGTAAATATAGGTACGCCGAATCGGTATCAAAATGTATAACCACAAATACTCGAAACAGATGAGTGTCTTGACTGTAAATTGTCAGCCGTTAGAATGTCGAACTCTGAAGTTCACATGGGAATATCTGACCATAGACAAGTTCAGCTTTCAATGTGTAGAACACTAAGTAACCTGGTAACACCCCACTTTGTTGAGAAGGCTGGTGAAATGACCTCCCCCTCACTAACAGAGACTTGGATAGATAGTCAACCGAACTTGAGGCAGTACTGTTACTCTAAATGGAATATGCTCCTTAATCGTCTGACTCTACAGGTCCAGTCTTGTCGCTGGTTGCAACATAATACTGTTAATCTAGATTGAAAATGTGCTGACAAAGTTAAGGACACGTGAACTTTTATTCAAGAAAGACAAGATTGCCCTCAATAAATGGACAGGCTTCTCAGATGCTCCCACGCACAGCTCACATCCCTGGAGGTCTCAGCAGCTGAATACGACCACCCATAGCTTACCTGCCACTGGCAAGGAATTAAAGATAAGGATTAATTACCCAAATCCTATCTTTAATACATTCCCATTTGCAGATTGACTCCAATCAAGTAAGTAATCCTAATTTAAATAAATTAGGGATAATTACACCATTATCTCAAGTTATTATTTCCTAATTAATATCTTGGGAATATTTAGAGAATATCTCTCCATTAAATACTATGGTCAGCCATATCCCTATAAACACCCCCATATTCTACCAAATTTTTAGAGCTTTTGCAATCCTAAAAAAACCCTAAACACTTTATTCTCTTAGAGAAACTAACTTAGGCATCGGAGATCCGTTGACCTAACCCCCCTCCACCTTGTGGCCACATGAGGCTTAGGTCTTTGATCAAAGGTGTTGATTGTTTTGCAAGTGCATTTTCGTCTAGACTGAAGATGGTGGAAATTTGCATCAACAAATTGGTGCTTTCATTGAGAGCTTATTTAAAATACTTGAAGAAGCATCTCGCATTTGTTTCTTAAGTTTTCTATTACGTTGAATTTCTCACACGTCGTATCAATTAATTTTTCCGAGAAACGTTTCTTGATCAATCCCTGGAGAAAGAATACAATGGTAGGAAATTCAAAAACTACGACGAACGGAACCCTGTACGTGCAAGAATTTGGTCCGGAGAGTGGAAACAAGGACATAGCCCTATGACGGAGATCCTCAAGGCTTAACGCAATGGTGGGAAGAGCCCCACCGCCGTGGAGCCGTGCCACTACCACCACCATCGTGACCCAACAGTCACGGCAAGGCCACTAGGTCACAACATCACTTCCACCGCCGCTGCCCTAGCAACTCTGCACCCAACCAAACCCTAGGTAGGAGGCCTAGGTCCATTTCCAAGCCTATGATGTGGTAGCCTAACGGCCAAGAGGGCCTACGGCCATACAGACCTAAGACGAGCAGGCGCAAGTTCAACGCTCACTGCGACCCTCTCCGACGACCTGGCCCACGGCCCAATCTATTCCAAGGCCACCTTCAGTTATCTAGATTTCGACCACCAAACCCGCTATCGATTCAGTGTTACTTTCACCCTACTTTTCTACAAGAATGCCCGCTTTAGGCTCAAGCTCTATACCTGATGTCCACTATACTTCCACCACACATGAAGACACCCATTTTCCAAACTCTTCCAATCCAAATAGCTACCACCGCCTGCCTCAGCAGGTAGCTAATATGATGAGTGCCCTTGCCCAGTAAGCCACCTCAGCAAACCAACTCCTCGAGTGTATTAAGATGCAGTGCGCCCTAGACGAAGTGTCCCGAAGAAGGATAAAGGTGGAAGAACATGACTCATTCCAACGATGTCTAGGCAAAGAGCCGTTCAGCCCTCCAGGAACCATGCGTTTGGGTAGTGTGCACTTTTGTTTAGGTCATCGGGAAAACGTCTTCTCCTGCCTAGATGAGCAGAAAAACGTTCATTCCCAACTTGGCTCATGAGTCAGTATGTATTCAAGGTTGGGTCCGCATTCCAACGAGCACTCAGGACATTAAAATGTCAGCATGAGGCTAAGTCCATAAGGAAATCTTCCTACGAGGTAATGGAGTAAGTAGCTGCATGATGCCCAAAGAAGAGCATGAGAACAATCCAGCTCAAGTTCCATTGCCAGCCCTCGCCAAGAGGGACGACGAGCAGCATAGGGCAAACCATGTGCACCACAACCACGATACAAATGAACAGGACATACCGAAGAGCAACATGAACAAGTAGGTCAACACTTAGGGCAGGTGGATGTTTCACTGCCCACCAGGTGCAAATCTAGGAGGAAGTACAAAGGCTCGTAGCAGAGCAGTTGTGCAGATTCCTGGGCATTGACACTACCGATGATGCCGTTCATAGAGACATAGCCAACCTGAGCATGTCACCTTTTACAGACAAGATCAAGCAGACAAAGCCCCCGCAAAAGTTTAGCCCACCACATTTTACCTTGTTCAAAGGAGATGGAGATCCGGATAGACACTTAATGCATTACCGAAGCGCCATGACCCTATACGCCAACGATGATGCTCTCATGTGCAAAATATTTGCCACGATGCTTCAAGGTGAAACGCAAGACTAGTTCCACACCCTGCCACCATAATCAACCTGGAACTTTCCATGGTTTTCACTAAGGAATATTTGCCCTACCATTCGATCAAAAAGAGTTATGACTACCTCTTCAACATGAAGAATGACCCGAATGAGTCACTCCACATATATGTCAAGAGGTTCAAGGTGAAAAAGGCAAAGATTGTCAGATGTGATGACAACATCGCATGCTCAGCTTTTCGAAAGGGGAAAGGGGTTCCCAACAGATCACCCAGTTTTTGGAGAATTGATCATGGATGAGAACTTGACCCTGGCAGACTCTTATGCTTTGGCAAAAAATCATACCTTCTAAGATGAGGCAAGTGCTTCCAGAAGCCGCCTGAGCAGCCACTCAAAGACGTAGAGCAAACTAAGA